ATTCGTGTACGCGAGTGGTGGGGGAGGGGGCCATCTGCCGCCTCTGGTCGTGGTGGTCACTAGGCCGCGGGGCGTCGCGAGGTCCGTGGCCCGACCCGTCCGCAGCCGGCACCGCGCACCGCGCGCGCAGTATTTTTAACTTCGCCGCATCCTGCGCCTTCGCGCCGCTCTCTCTCTCCGCTCTGTTTGCGTTTTGGGTTTTCCACGAGATGAGGGACTGCTGTCGCGACCCGGCCGGGCCATGGCCACTCACCGCCGCCGCCGCCGCCCCCCGCGGCTGCAGGGGTCGCCCGCGTTGCGTCCCATGGGTGTTCCTGGCGGGACGGGGCGGGGCGGGCGTGGCGGGCGGGGTGTCCGCCCAGGACAGCACTCGCCGCACCCGCGGGCCCGCCTCGCTAATGGAAAGCCCTGGCGCACGGCGCGCAGCACCAGCTGCTCTTGTTATTATTTTTCATTATATCTCCCCCCCTCTGCACGAGGATCGTTTTCGTTTTGCCGCTAAAAGGCTGGGCGTGGCGGAGCGTGGCGCGGCGGCTGGTGCCGAGTGGTGCTGTTGACCTCATCAGCGAGTGGACCACGCCAAACTTGGAGGGCCATAAAACATGTAATCGGGTGATGCCTTCGCCCACCTCGTCAAGCCAACCAAGTGGCAGTTTTAAGGGGAAGAGGAGGGGGCGAAGGGGTAGACTTTCCCTTCGTCGGGCTACAAGATGGCACGCCCGGACTAGGCGACACGTGTATGTGTCACGCAGGACGTCGCCCCGCCGCCATGACCCGTCCATCCCAGTGGTGCTTCAAACAGCCCCTGCCAACCCCTGTTCCTCACAGACTCTGTGAGTGCCATGGGGAATGGTGGGGGGGGGGGGGCAGATTCGCCTTGTTGTGAAAATAAAACGAGGAGAGCAAGAGACGGCCAGGCCACGAGCCGCGCCGGGCAGAGGATGCACATTCTCAGTATTACTCTCTTCTTCAGCTTTTCTCTCTCTCTCCCTGTCTCTGTCTCTCTCTGTCTCTCTCTCTTCCCTCTCTCGTGCAACCTCCTTAGTCGCCCGTCCCGCCTGCGGCCGACAGTCTCGACAGCCCCTCACCTGGCTTCGCCCCGTCTCTCCCTCTCTCTCCCTCTCTCTCCGGCCCCGGCACGTGCGCACCGAGAGCGAGCAGCGAGTGGCACACAGAGAGCGCTTATTGCGTAAGCCCCCCCCCTCCCCCCTCTCTCCTCGCGCGACAGTCGCTGCTACCCACAAAGACTCAACTCCAGGTCAGGGCCGCTCTCGCCCGCAAACTTTTTTGTGTACACTTCTCCGTCAGGGGATTCCTGTCACGCCAAAATTTTCTAGACCGGAATAAATGTACTCTATTTTCTCTTTTTGTTGTCTGGGGGTGCTCGTCAGGTGGAATAAGGTGGGTGGGCATCGCGACTGCTGTGCGCGGCCGATAGGGGGCGGTGAAAGGCAGCGAAGCGTGCGCGCTGCTGGAGAGAGGGAGGGGGGAGGGGGCAAGGAAATGAGGACGCGAAGGATGTCGCCGTCAGCGCTGAAAGGGGTGGAGAGGGGGACGGTGACAAGGTAACGGTAGCCGCCCCGCGCGCGCGTAAGGGGTTAGGGGCTTTGCAAGGGGATCCTCCGCGCGCTCGGCGCCCAGAGCGGGGGCCCCCCTCTCTCCCCGCGCTGGACGGCGGCCCCGGGGACGGGCGGCACCGGCAGGGCTTCGCTCGCCGCGCCGCCACCACCCGGGCCCCCTCCGGGCCGTCCGGGCCGGGCCCCGCGGCTAACGCGGATCACGCAAGCCCCCTCTTTCCGTTTGCGGCTTGGCCGTAATGCGCACTGGCCGCTGCTGTGCGTCCCGAGGGTGGCCCCCGCGGGTCCCCCGAGGGATCGTGGACGAACGGGTTAGGCTGGTGTTCCCTCCCCCCCCCTCTCCTTTCCCGTGGGGGTGCGGATGGACGGGTTAGGCTTTGTGTGCAGACAGGTCACAGACAGGTCGACGACCGCCACAGCGCGCACCTCTGCGCCCCCAGCCTCCAGCCACGAGGGCCTCCCGAAGAGGGGCCCCTTTCCTCTCCCAGGTGCGGGGGTGCCCATCTCCCCCCTGCGGAGCCCTGCTCATCCTGGCTTGCTGCTCCCCCGGTGGGGGGCGCCTGGACCTGGACCGCTGCTGCGGGCGCTTTGACGAGCTGCCCGCAGTGCAGCTGCGGTGGAGTGTCGGTCGGCCCCGCCCCCGGGCCGCCCCCGGCCGTGCCGCACTGCGCGTCCAACAGGTCCCCCGTGCTGCGGTCGCAAGGGTTGCGATGTCGCGCTGTTACGTTCGCCGCACACGACGCCCGGGAAGTGTACGTGTACACCACCAAGGTGCTGCGGGCCGGGAGCCGCCCGGCCGGGTAGGCAACGCGCGCGCTCCCGTGCGCGGCGGTCGGGCGGGCCGACAGGCGGGCCGCCTCTGAAGCACGGCCGCGTCCGTCCCGCCTGGCCTGGGCTGCACTATGCACCGCTGCAGCCAGCGCTGGTGCATTAGACTAGGAATGGGTCTGTGGGGATATTACATGGGTCCTCTCCGCCGCGCCAAGCGGCAACGCCAAGCGGTGAGTTCGCTCGGCAGATCTGAATGCCGTGGTTGTCGGGTCGGGCTGATGTCGGACTGATGTCACACTGATGTCACACTGATGTCGGGCTGATGTCGGACTGATGTCGGGCTGACGTTAACGTATGACGCGTCACTGACAGCGCAGAGCAAAGTGGTTCGCGACTTGTTTGACACGTGTCAGACGTGTGCTCGGCAGCTGCGAGCGATGACAGGTTGAGCCGGCCCGGAGGGGCGGGTGGTCGCGATAAGGATAAGAGAGGGGTTGTCGGGGTGTGGATTGTGGAGGGGATGGGGGCTGCACATTGGCCGGACACGGTGGTGTGTATTCGCCCATCGCTAACGCTATACTCCGCGCGTGGCCGCGGCGCGGTGAGCGCGGGGGACGCGGGGGGTATCGTCGCGGTCAG